GTCCCCCTATTAATCCGAGATCGCCACAGCGGAATGAACCACCAACTTATCCAGCACATGATTCACGCAGCGGATGCCCTTGCAGCCGCAACCCATCACTGGGAATATTATTATTATTATTATTATTATTATTATTATTATTATTATTTTTATTTTTATTATTATTATTATTGTTGTTGTTGTTATTACTATTATTATTATTTTTGTTATTATTATTATTATTGTTGTTGTTGTTGTTATTACTATTATTATTATTATTTTTATTATCATTATCATCATTATTATTATTGCTATTATTATTATTATTATTACCAACAACAACAACAATAATAATAATAAAATAATAACTGTGTTTATTTATATAATTGCTTTGGCAATACATTTGTAACATCTGTCATGTCAATAAATAATTAATTATTGAATTGAGTTGATTTGACCAATATTAAAAAAACACTTCAGAAACACTTTGGCAAGGCTCTCGCTCAGTTATATTTTTTCAACTTATATAAATTGCCATTTTTGCTTGTTCCTGCACAAAATTAAGCAATTGACAAACAAATCTTCTTTTTTTGCTATACTTTAAAACTAGAGAAAGAGAGAGACAGATGATTATGTGAAATTGTGAATGTAGTCCTAGGAAATGAGGGTGTTTTTGTCTCCTCATGTGATTTTCTCAGATGGGCTCATTGGCGTTGTAATGTTTGTTCCACCCAGTCACCCCATCTCACCACCAAAACACCAGTGCTGGGAAAACTTAACTCAGATAGTATTGCATTACAGTGTTGGATTACTGCTTAAAAAGAGTAACTTTTTAGTAACTTTTTAAGGAAAGTAATTCTGTGTTATATATTTTTTTTATCTGCTTGTTTGTATTGTAATGATTTTGCATGTTAGAGCATAAACAATGATTAAATATATACAAATATATACAAAAATAAATAAATGAACAGTAATAAATAAATAAATAATAAATCTATAAAAGAAATACAATAAATACAAACAAATAAATAAAAATATTTAAAGTAAATACATACATACATACATACATACATATATATATATATATATATATATATATATATATATATATATTCAATACAAATAAATATTTAAAAAATATATACAAATGAATAAATAAACAATATTAAATAAATAATAAATCAATAAAATAACTACAATTATTACAAATAAATAAATAATAAATTAATAAAATTAAAAAAATTAAATACAAATAAATATTTAAATAATATATACAAATAAATAAATAAGCATTTATAAATAAATAAATAAAAATCAATAAAATAATTACAATAAATACAAATAAATAAATAAAAAATACATAAATTAAATACAAATAAATAATAAAAAAATTATACAAATACATAAATAAACATAAATAAATAAA